AGCTAAACAAGGGGCAGAAAGGGATTCATTCTTTTGGGCTAAGCTGTAACGTTAGTGTCTTTGTATTTTCTTTTTTCCTTTCTTGAAGCTCTTTGTGACTCTYGGAAGATAAGTGTGYTTKTCTTCCACTTGTAAATTTTCTACTGATGAATTAATGAAAGTGTTATTGATAAAAAAAAAAAGTAATATGGTATTCTTGTTTTGTTGTTTCCTTCATGTCTCTTACAAAATGTTCAATGACCATGTATGTTTGGTCATTCTTCTTACTTTAGTACGTATAGTCTGTTGGAAGGGACCATTTATTACTACTGCTTTGTGGAACACTACAGTCTCCATTGTGCTCGGTCTAGATTGCATGTTTCAGTGTATCTGTGTATGATTCCAAATTGGACCCAAGTAAATTTGTAATTGGTGCTGAATATGAATGATGAGTTGATGACAAGACCATAGTGTATTCATTTGTATCTTGATTTGAGAGTTGTGTTTCCAAATTGGACTTCAGATAATTTGATAAAAGCTGCTAAATAGAAATGGTGAAGGGCCACCTCTCACATTCATTTCTGTCTTAACTTGGGAGCTTCTAGCCCCTTGCATACTTTCTTATTTTCTTCTCCTGGGTTTTCACCCCTAAGAAGATTTAATGCTTCCTTCTGGACATGTGATCTGGTCATATCGGACAAGTCAGATACAGATACGCTTTGGAAACACATGGGTACAAACGAAAGATATAGAAACGCTTGGATACACTAGGGAAATGCATGCAAATCACATAAATACATTAATAATACTAAACCAAAAGCTGAATTATCTATGAATAAGATATAAACACATGAGAAATGCATACTTCAATTGGTTATATGAAGAGAAATATTACAATAAACAATACTGAGACTCAACAACATACAATAATTATCTTTCTTTTATTCATAAAAAAAAATTATCTTTCTTTCAATTTTTATTAATTTTTTGGAATATTTATTAATTTAGTATTTTTATACAATAACTCTATTTTTCAAATAATAACTAGGTTTTCATTTTTAACATATAATTATGTGTAAAATAAAATATATAAATCATCAAAGGTAGATGAAATATATTATTGTTATAATTTTTAGTTTTTATTATTTTTTTTTGGAAAAATTAAATCTTAAATTATTTATTTCATTTTTCGTAATACTATTTTTTAATTTTTATTAAAGATGAAAAATAATCCAAAAGTAGTCAATATACAGTTTTGCCAAACTAGGCATGGATACACCTCCGTATTAGTGTGTGTTGGACCGTATCCACCGATACAGTGCGATATGGCCCGATATGAAGTTATATCATGCTGATACGCATGATTCGTGGGATACTTATCAAATTGTGGTGTATCCCATATCCATGACCATAGATACAGATACGATACGCCCCGTATTGGGAGTATCTTATCGATACCTTAATCCTTGGGTAGTACTCAAATTGGCATAAACATTTGCTTTCTTGACTTCAATTACTTTTCTTTGCGTATTAATTCTTCTGGTATTTGTTGGACAGTAACCCCTTTTTCATATGTAACAGTATTTTTATCGATGAAATGTAAAATAAGAAAGTCATGAAATATAAAGACAAGGTGTCCAACTAAGAAGCTTGTGAGCAGTAATCTTCCTTTTTCTTAAACATGCATAAACACTAGAAATAGTACCAATAAAAAATACTAAAAATAGTTTATACAAAAAATAGTGAGTTTGAGAAATAATCAATCTATTCCTCAAACATGTGTAAAAGGCCATTACCCAATGTTGGTCCCAGCTATATGGGGTAAATGGGAGGGGTAGACTGGGTATGGTCCTTTTTTTTTGGATTGGAAACGGTAACTTCATCAATACAATTTAAGAATAACTTTCCAGAGTTGAGTACAGCTGTCAACCCCTAAACAGGTGTTGAGCCTCAGTAATCTTTCTTACAAAACTGCCCAGAACATTCTCTCCCTCACAGTCCCTTATTTAACCAACGTGTCAGCTAAACCATTAGCTGATCTCCTTGTCCATTTGAAGCATGCACCGATCTCCCTTGTGTTGAGGATTTCCCTTATGGGCTGTCTATAAATCCAGGCTCCCAACTTTCCAGATTGCAGCCACTCAATCAACAATTTAGAGTCTCCCTCTATCTCAATTTGGTGTAACCTCAATTGTTTGGCATATCTTACATCTTGAAGTAAGGTGTATGGTCCTAACCTTTGTCACTTTTTTCACACTAAGTGGCCACCCTCAGATTCGAACATACATTTTCATGCATGCTAACCCAAGATTTTCCTCAAGCATGCGTAAATATTAAAAATAGTTTATACAGAAATAACGAGTTTGTGAGCGGTAACCCATCTTTTGCCTGGACAATCATCCTGTGGCTTATATGGATTTTATACAACCTAGATGGTAGACATGCATAAATACTTATGGTTTGAGGAAACCACTTCTGTTATTTTCCTTATAGCATGGGGATTAGCTGATGGATTCTGAGTTTGCTAGCTCATCCGGATTTTAGCTTTATTCGCTTTGAATCATGTGAAAGGTGAGTTTGGACATAGGTATATGTCTTACATTGCTTGTCCTTCAGTTGTTCCACAGTTCTCATCTATTCTATATACTTGGAGTGCAGTTGTCCATGTCTTCTCCTCATATTGCTTCCCAACCCCCTTAGAATTTTGTGGTTTTTTTTATATTTTTTTTTTAGAAAAAAGCAAATATGGGGCTTTTTAAACTCACCCACAACTAATTCAGTTTCTTTTTAATTTAGGAAATTGAATGTAGTCATCCCCTGTAGAACATGGGCATCTTTTAACACCAGCCCCATTCATCGCACAGATCTCTTCTAGTCTTGTTTATTTTTTTTATCTCAGCTAGTTTTGAAGTCATGACATCGTCTATTCCACTTTCAGGTATACCTTATTTAACAAACTACTGCACCGTTATCTGTATGACATGATTTCTAGACATCCAGATTCTTGGATGAACTTTGACTTATTCTTGTTGAAATATTTACAAGCCTTTTTCCCAAATCCTAAAACTATAAAGCTTCTTTACAAGGTGGTTAACTTTATAAAAAATCACTCCTCTTGCATGTTGCTAATGCACTAATAATGTTCTTTTAGGGTTCTATACTTCTATCTGGTTGTAAATGTTTCTCTTGTTGGATCCATGAGTATGCTCTTGAATCATTTTATCATCATTGCAGTACCCTGGCACTGTTTTTTTAGATTTATTTGATTGTAATTTACTTATATCTACTTTATGAAATTCAGGTGGCTACCTGAACAAGATAAGAACAAGTCTGAAATACCTGTGCCCAGCTGAAAACATTCCTCCAAAGATTGAGGTGGATCTGAGCAATCTAGATATTGGAGATAAAATTTTCATACGTGATATTGAGGTTCATCCAGGATTGAAGCTTTTAAGTAAGTATGAGGAAATGCCCATATGTAAGATTGTGAGTACAAAATCTGAAAATTCGGAAACTGCCAAGGCATAGTCAATAAGATATATTTGAGGCACTTAGGAGGGTGTAGTATCCTTGTGGATCACCCTAGCTTACAAGGCAAAACAGTTTAAGAACATTTATGATTGCTAATTAGGAGCTGTGCTTTCACTTGAGTTGGTAAATTGGGATGCATGGTTCAAAATGCCTCTAGAGCAGTGTGGTAGTTTATTCCTGTTGGTGTACAGAACAACATACTCCAATCTGGAATTTTCCCTCAATTTTAAAACTGATAGTATAGATAGTTTACTGGTGGTGGTGGTTGCTTGGCAACTTGCAAATAATTCTATGAACTGTCTGCCAAACACCATATGAACTTTTAATAATCTAGCATTAGATCGGGTGATTTTATTGATGCTTCTCAGGTTTGGCCATACTTAATATTAATTGTTGATTTTTTATGGTGGTAGGCTGGATCCAATATTAACATGATTAAAGTACTTGTGTGTGGTGGATAGGAGAATTGTAGGAACAATTCCATCTCTGCCCCATGTGTTATATTTATCCCAAATTGACAATCTAGGGAATGACCCAATTGATTATTGATGTATTCCACTCCACCTAGGTGACTGAACGGTTATCATCATATCTTCGCACCCTGACTTATTTGGTGAACGGTGTTTTAACTTGTGAGTTGATCCAGACCAGGCAAACCTGCCTTTCCAGAGAATGAACCAACCCATCAATATCCTTTGGGCCTTGATAAGTGGTTCTGTAAGCCACTCCACTCTCATCCAAGAATAGGCCTGATGCACAGTTTGGCCAAATGGTACAAGCCAAACCCAAATGCAAGGACAGAGTTGAGAGTCGAATTCGGATTGAGGACAAAATCCGAACTTCATCCTCACACTCCTTGTAGCCGTGTGTTAAGAATATCTCCCATGAATAAAATTTATATAAATATGGAGATGTTCCCAACATACAGCTGCAAAGGCTGTTAACTCTTCTTCTTCCTGAGTTAAGCTAGCTAATCAAGTTTCAAAACTTGATAAAAGAAAGGGCTCGTTTTCAAAGTTGTTGGGAGCTGAAATTCATTAAATGAAGACAGCCACACGGGAAATACATAGAGCTTGCTAAGCTTATCATCTAATATATCATATATGACGTGAATGCCGAATACGGAAGATTCTCGGATCGTGCAAATGGGGAATGCTGAGGAAACTCGAGAATCATGTGGGACATTAGAAATTTTAATTACAAAAAAAAAGGCCTTGTATTTACAATTCCCTTTACTAAACAGCTCGAAAATAAATGGTATCACGAATACAAAATATTCAAAACCCTAGAAATGGAACTTATGTTTTACGGTTAGGCTCTGATCCATCTGAACCAAAGAATTATAATGAGGAGGTTTATGCTAAAGAGCTGATTTGGTAGGTTGAGACATCTATGCTATATAAAACGGATACTTGCCTCGGTCTCGTCCAACTTTCGAAGATGTTGGGATCTTTTGAGATTTGGTAGAGATATCTATGTTTTTGATTTTGTTGAACACGTACCGGTATCAATAAAAGAACTGGATTTGAAATTAAGACTGAGGTAGTGTCGGAGAAAGGAGTGATAACTGACTAGTCAAAGGTTGAAAGTATGAACTTTGCACCATGTACAACTCACACTATGCATTAAATTGGCATCAATTCTGAGCTGTTACCTATCCCAACAGTATTCTGTGTCTATAAATTCTGATCCTGGGCTGAAGTGTCTTTCTTCCTAAATACAATTCAGATTTCATACCCACAAGAATCTTACCCACATGGCACTACAGTTTTACATTTAGAACATCTCCGTATTTGTATGTAACTATTCATAGGGAGATATTCCTAATGTACAGCTAATGTGCAACTGTAGTGAGACATAGGTAGGAGATCAGAACTTGGTGGAATATGTAGGCCCCTTTTGGTTTGGCTGTCGCCTCAGACTGCCACTTGTCAAGAAAAACAAACAAAAAAATGTGACCCAAAAGTGATCTAATGTTGTTTCATGAAATTTCTTACAAAAAAAAAATAATAATAACAATGGAAAAGAAAGAAAGATACATTGCTCGGTAAAGAAAAACCCTGGACATGATATCAGGGTCTTTTGGTTTGTGGGAATAAGAGTCTAGAATTGGAATCAGAATGATTCAACTGTTTGGTTGGGTAGAATAGAAATCCCATTCTCATTCCCTGGTAGAATGTTATTTCTCCATTTGAGGGAATGTCCATTCCCTCCCTCTCCCCTAGGGCCCTGGGAATGAGAATCCATTACAACTGATTCCAATTCCAGTTTCTATCTGAACCACATAGGTAGGAGGAATAGACCATATGGTTCCAGACTTCCAGTTCTAATGGATTTCATTCCGATTCCAAATCTAGTTCCGACTGAACCAAACGGCCTCCAATTTCTTTGGATCTATAATAAATGTAGCATTGAATTTGTACACATGAGGCTTAAAATTGGCAGTCTTGAACTTGAGAGCTTAAATGTAGCGTAAAAACAATGGCCAGGAAGAAAGTGTGCATGGACCATGGATGCCTTGCCATTAAGAAGTAGCAGCACTTTAACAAAGGTATCTTGGTAAATAAATGGAGAGGTATGCAATTTCTAAAATATACTTTTACTAAATAGTAAATACCAAGTACTGCATTTATCTGATTGGCTAGGCTATAAATATCCCCCCAACGAAAAAGGTATTTACCCAAACAAACTCAAAAAAAAAAAGGGAATGGGGATCTCCTCCCAACAAAAAAACATTTGAAGATGTTCCAATACGATCTTTTTCTGCACATCTCACCATCAGAAAGATTGGGACCCATCATGTATGAGATGTGGAGACATAGATCATGTTAAGTTTTTTTTTTTTTTCTTTTTTTTTTGTGTGTGTGTGGGGGGATCCAGATTCACAAAGATCCAGGTTTGACAGATTTAACATATCATTTCCTAACTTGTACTATCAGAATGCGGAAATAGAGCTCCTATATATATTAATGTCAAGCAAGATTTCGTTCTCATAATCTGTGTGGCTCAGACAGGAATGAAAGTGAGAATTGAAATCAGAATGAGATTTTGTTCTCAAGGAAGGGGCAAGGAATGCCATTCCAACTGAAATGAGAATAAAATTTGAATTTCGTTCAACCAAATAATTGAAATTGAAATAACCCATTCCGATTCCGACTTCAAACCCCATTCCTGTAAACCAAAAGGGGCCTCAGTAATTATGGGCTTTTGATAGCTAATGATGACCACATAATACAAAGGAAAAAGGAAAGAGAGGGGAAGGAATTCATAGATGCCAACTCCTGCATTTCATACTGGTAGCAGATATACAACGTTGAGTAATTAAGAACCAACCCACCACCATAACCGTATGTATACGAAGTTATTTTTTAAATGCCCATCACTACATATGCAGTTAAATAAGGAGGGAAACAAGAAGTTCTTGTGCAGAACTGCTGCACATGCCTTCTCCTTCTACTTGCATAGAAGTTGTTGTAAATGCTTTTGGGAGTTTTCATGCTTGATAAAATAAGTTCGAAGTTTGGACATGTTTGGACAAGGCAGGTAACTCGATCGAACTGGTTTACCTGGGGCTGGGGACACCAATGACTCGGGTTAACTGGCAAACCTGTAAAAAAAAAAAGAAAAAAACAAAAAAAACAAAAAAAACAAAAGGTCAAACAATTCATGGGCTCAGACTTTGCCGGAAAATACTTGGCTTCTACAATATTGGAGGACATGCATTCTATCGTAGCTCTTTCATACATTTGTTTTAGGGTTTAGAATTTACTGGTTAAGAATTTAAAGTTTAGATTTTAGGATTTAGGGTTTAAGGCTTAAGGATTTACAGCATAGATCTTAGGATTTAAAATTTAAGGTTTAGGCCGCATTTGTTTGAAGTGTAAATGAGAACCCGGGTAAACTTTACATGCCGGTTTGATTTTACATGTGCTTGGTAGAGGTGTTAATCTACCACATAAGTCGATGTAAAAATCCATCTTGCCGGTATTTCCCTCGAAAATCTGCAAAAAGTTTACATCAATAAACCTCCATCCTCTTCTAGACTCGAAGATGCCTCTCTCTCTTTCTCTCCTCTCTCCCCCCCACCTGGGAATAGGGCCTAAGGCTTCTGGCCTCTCGTACTTATTCTCATTGAAGAAATCCTTCCGATCCTAATGAGAACACGAGGGTTCACTACTTGTCAATGCCCTCAGCTAGGGTTCACTAGTCAATGCCCTCTGATCAATCTCCTTCTCCCCCAATACTCTCTCTCTCTACCCCCTTGATCAATCTCCATTGCTTATTGCTGCAACAAATTAGAAAACTGAGTCTGATTGAAGGGGAGAAGATGCTGGAGTACGACCGGTGATTCAAACATTGCAGTCGCAAGAGTGTGTGCAATCTCCGTCCAATAGTTTCTTCTACCTTCTTTTCTTGTCTTTCTTGCATCGGTCTCCTCTCTTCCATGATCTAATTTGTGATGGCCCACCTCGCGTCTGCCTTCTATACCTTAATATGTTGAATGCAGATTTAAAGTATTGATACAATACAAGTTTGGTTGAAGAAATCCTCAACCAACGTTTAGTTTTTGTTGCTAAACTGGACCCGGCAGCCAGCACCAGTTTTAACTCTTTAATTAGTCAATTCAAGCATTCATGGCTCACGTAAAGCTCCCAGCTCCCATGTCTCCGACTCCAAGTACATCTGTTGGACTTGGTAAAACAACGCGTAATATTAATTTATTAATTTACAAATCACCACTGGTCAGTGGTCACTGCCTTTCATGAGTCAACTCGCCAGTTATTTCTTCAATTATATTAAACAACGCGTTAATAAATTTATAGATTTCAAATATAAAATTATGAAAGCATAATTTTAAGAAACATGCATGAGTTGCTCAGTAAGCTAAATAAAGAAAGCTCATATTGCAGATTAAATTCAAAGATATATCTCACTGGCCCACATCAAAAGACAATAGCTTACCTTTCCATAGGCAGTTGAATCAAATGACATTTTTCTTTTTTCTTTTTCTTTTTCTTTTTCTTTTTTCTAACTTTGCTTATAAGGGCCAAGTCACTATCTAACTCTACTAATCACACACCATGTACGATCTTCTAATCAATCAATAGCAATGGTAACGGGTGGGTTTGGGGCGGGGCATCCCTTCCCCATCTCTGCCCCGTAGCCAAAATACACTATCCCGCTCAGATGTAATCACTTGAAAATATATCTTATTGATATAAATATTTTGGGTATTTAGAAATTTGAAAGTATTATAAAAAATGAAATTATGGGATGTTAGGATTTTAAGAATTTGAAGATAGTCAGGGGTATTTTAAAAGTCAATATTAAAACTAAGAATATTTTACTAGTTTATTATTAAGTTTAGGTGTAGGTTCGGAGAATTATATGCAAATCCTGTTCTCGGTTGAGGCACAAATATTTTTCCTATCCCCACCTAGCCCCTATTTTAGATTAGGGAAAATACACCCAAATTTTATGGGGAAAATTGCCAACCTTATCAATTTAAATTTTGTAAATATTATCTTTTACAATATTTATTATACACATTTGAATATTAAATTAATGAAAAATGATCAAATCACATATGTGGTTCAATGGTTAAATGAGACCATGATCTTTGTAACTAATAAATGTATTCATGGGTCGAGCCGGACTTTGCCTCTTTATAAATAGAAAATCACCATGCCCGAGCCCGAGACCGAGACCGGCCCAACTATCGGGCCTAGATCTTGAGCCCGGTTTCAACCCTATATAAAGCTCGAAGCCTGACTTTGACATGTATTTCATAATATATTATATATTATATAATATTTTATACATTTAATATATATAATACTTTTTTGTTATTAATTTTTACTATTATATAATAGTATCGAGCTAAGTTTATTTGGTAAAGCCCTAGCCCAACCCAAAAAAACAGTTGGACCCAATTTTTAGAGCCTGAGCCCGTGGGCTTAAAATTGTCCAAGCTCAACTTAGGACAGGCCCAGCCTGTCAAGCTACCCAACCCACAAACAGGTCTAGTAATACGAGTGTTTGGTTATACATGTTATCATCCTTGAAGTATTTTGAGATTCATTTCAAATCAAATTTAATTCCAAGGTCAACTAAAGTTAATTCCTCTAAAGCCAATCAACATCAGTTTTTCAAGTTGATTAAGGTAAGATAAACCCCTATACCCTAAAACTAGTTTGAGTTGCCATTATATATTTTATGATATGATATATATTATATATTTATATATAATATTATATTATATATTATTGAGTTTAGTTTAAACTTTTAACTGAAATAACTGAAAAATCGAACTAAAAATTTTGATTTTTCTATAATTTAATTTACGTTCAATTTTTATTTTTTTAGTTTGATTTTTAAAATTTTAATTTATTCGGTTTGAGTTCTAACCGAATAAATCGATACCTGATTAGAATACAATTCGAAATCTACCCATTTGTTTGCGTGGTCTAAAGATTTCCATCCAGAACATAAGTCATGATTCTCATGAATCTACCCATTCCTCGTCACTTCACACAATTGATCACGCGCTCGTACGGTCGTACCCTTAGGCCTTAGCTTGATAAATAAGGGAGAATAGTAATAAAGGCAACTTTTTGTTTTTAATATTAGTAAAAATAATATTTTTATATATTAATTAAAATGAGATATCTTTTTTGAAAAAATATCAAAAAAGAACAGTCACGTTCTTCCTCCTCTGCCTCTGTATTCATCCGAATGAATCATAAAATTCCGGTAAGTAATAACTGGAGATGTTCTTCGTGTCCTATAAATTAAACCGGCAGTCATGTCCAAGTGTCCATCTCCAAGGACTCACAGAACCTCTGGAGGTTTTGTGACATAAGATTCTAGCCATTCCTTATTAATCCATTGCTTGCCGGAGGACTGCAGATCCACAATCTGCAATGCTTGCCGGAGGATCATAAGATTCCGGCCATTCCTTATGAATCCATTGTCCTTTCATTCTTCTTTCTTCTCTTGTCCGCCCATGTTAGTGTGCAAAACAGGATACGAGCGGAGGGCTTATCCCCACCCGATGCCGTCACGGCATTCCACCCAAGCTTTGCTGGTTTTTTCTCACGTGCACAGTTCAAGCCTGGCTGGCATTCCGTCATAGCGTTCTCACAAGCGGAGGGCTCAATCTTTTTGAAATTGCTTTCGATACTAAACCTGGAAGACCCTTGATTGTCTTGCTCTATGCAGACGAAGAATTCAACTCCTCCTCCACGTCATGGTGGAGACGCCCCATCGCCGGTTTGTTTTCTGGGACGTGAAGAACATTTCCGCTTATTACTTGTCCGGAATCTTACTATGAATACAGAGACAAGAGGACAAAGACAAGTAACATTGTCACAATGAACTTTCTTAATATTTTTCTAAAAAAAGTTATCCTATTTTAATTAATATATAAAAAATATTATTTTTTATTGATATTAAGAATAAAAAATTACCCTTATCGATAAATAATTATTGATATATTTAGCCCTTATCTGCTAAATATATCAAAGAAATCAAAATAAGTGGAAAAGAGAATTCGGATCCGTTACACTGTGAGCCTGTGGGGCGCGATTTACGAGGAGCAGTTCCGAATCAAATATAAAATAATCTCGTCTCGTCAATTTAAACCAGCAAAAAAATAAATAATTAAATTATGAAACACAAAATAGACGTGATATAACAGCTAGGAGATGTTCTCAATACACGGCGACAATGTTTCGTACGTATAGATGTGAGAACAAAATTGTGGGTAGCAGATCTGGAGTGTTTCAAAACGTTTCAAACCATATGTCCGCACATCTCATAAATGGTGGATCCAGTCCGCGGTTCAGATTATGTTGGAAGAGTATTGGGACAAGGAGATTCAATGAAGAGTGAAGACGACGTTCCCTTTCTCGTTTGGGATGGAAGTATCAAATATGACGACGTAAAGCGCGCGGCTGTGGAGGCATACCCCAACCCAACGTTGTTCATGTCATGCACGATAAGGAAGACAGGATTGCGAATATCTGCCTCTGTCATTGGTTTTCTTCAGCTACGATTCCCTCTCTAATGGCGGAAGCCAGTATAAAACCAAGTTGTGTTGGTTCTAATAATAATTGAAAGAGTTGCCTTCATACAGACCATGATTTCCGAACTTCAGAGATGCATTGGTGGCAGAGCAGCTTTTCTTCACCTTCATCGTCGTCGTCGCCCTCACCTAAATCATCCAGTGGTTATCATAAAAAACGCAATAATGTCAGGGACATTAACTTCTTCAGGAGCCGTCGAGTCACCCACGCCCAGCCCCGTCTCACACGACAGCGCAAGCTTCGCCATCTCAGTGACCTCGACATCCGCCGTTTGTCCTTAGATAACTACGACGATCACAATTCGTTGCCTGTCTCGAAGTCGTCCAACAATCTCGAGATCCTCTCCGGGCGGTCATCGTTGTCATCGTCTTCGTCTGTGGTTCCTCAGCCGTTGCCGCGGCCCGATTTATCTGCGGTTATTCGTCGGGAACCGGCATTCTCGTCTCCCCATTCGACGGACTTTCCTCTTCCTTCCCCTAAGAAGGTGCCCAGCAGAGGTGAGGGGGAGGACGGGGATAAAAGGGATAGCTTAGCTGGAGACGGAACAGGGCGGGGAATCCTCCCTACCTCTGCAATCGGGAGGTATTTGTTTTTTCCTTTTTCTTGTTATTCAATTAGATTTATCAAATGTCGATTGTGCGATTGAAACTTTTCTTCCCTTGATAATGAGTTTTGACAGAACGCCAATTTATCTATCCATGCTTCCCCAAAGAATGTTCTGTCTTCTGTGGTTGTCTGTCTGTCGTGGTTGCTACTTGTTACCGCCATTTTTGGTGTGGTTATTAGAAATAAAGGCACTGAAATGAGGTGTTCTGATTCACAAGTACAGAGTAGCAGTGTGCTACACGAAGAGACGAAAAAAAAAGACACCGTATAGGCCGGAGGCCCTAGGATTGATTGAAAACCGTAACATACCTCCACCAGCGGTTCTCAATCTTTGCGGTTTTTCAGCAGCGGCAGGATCTCCATGATGGCCGTTTCTATGACCCAAACCAGGAGGCATAATGAGCTCTGATACTAAATCATATTAACCGGCCAATAGCATAACAATGCACCACAAATAAGGCACAATATCTTTTATTCAAGATATATTATAATATGCATGGCAATTAAACCTATAATTCCCTTTAAAATATGGTAATCAGTATGTCTATTTGAGACAGTAGGAAGGTTCTAACTTATTTGAGTAAATTGAAGATAATGTAGAGTGATTTCTTAGAGGGAATTCAAAGAAAAACATATAAAGTGTGCTAATCCAAGAAGTCTTAAGAGAGGAACAACAGAATTTTCTTGGAAAAAAGTAGAACAATAGAGGAAGTGATTGATAGTATCAAGGTGAAAGTAGCCCATTGGGTAAAACCCTTGGACTGCTTTCAAGTCTTTTCAGTCGCAGACATTCTAAGAACATGGTCCAAAGTAGCACAATCTTCGAGAGTAAGAGATAAAATAAGGCTGGAGTGGAGACCACCAGAAGGCAATAAAGTAAAGCTGAATTTTGATGGGTGCTCCTATGGAAATCCAGGCATCTCAGGAATAGGAGTATTAAGAAACTCTGACAGGAGGATTTTGGGTATGTTCTCAGGACCGATTGGCAATGGAAACTCGCTGAAGGCTGAACTATTGGCATTACTACAAGGGTTGAAGCTAGCCAAACAACTAGGATGCAGACATGTTGAAGTGGAAGGGGACTCAAAAGTAGTAATTTCATGGGCAACAAATAGCAGCCACACCCCATGGACGTTTAAACATGTGAATAGGGAAGTGGAGAAAATTGCAAAGGAGGTTGAGGATGAATTTAAATGGGTCCGAAGAAGTGCAAATGGACTAGCTGATGGATTAGCAAAACAGGGGGCATTGAGACAACAATTATTTTGGGCTACACTGTAATGAGGGGTGAATAGAGTGATTAAAGGGGATCAACAGTCCACTCATCAAGTTGTATAAACTGCTTACAATCTGAATCTTAATAAAATACATATTTACTGATCAAAAAAAAAAAGTGGGAACCATGAGTTATCATTTTAACCATCATTAGTCCCCATATTGTGGTGTTTTGCATTGGATTTCTTTGTCTTATTTCTTTTGGTATATACCTAAAGAATTTATTAAGAAACAAATAAGGGATTAGTACAAGAAGCCTTCTCCATAAGGGCAAGAAGGAAGGCTATAAGGCCAAAGAAGTGAAACCAAAATAAGCCAAAAAACAATAAAACCTCAACCCAATATGAATGGACCACAACACAAAGAATTTCTCCAGTTCTTCCAACCTCCTCCCCCCTAGTAAGGTCATTTCTGATTGAATGGTTGATTTCAGAATACACATGAATGACTTCTTTTCTTTGGAAATGAGGACCATAGCCTTTTTAGTGTGATGGCACAAAACCCACAAACCATCGTACCATCTTCCATCCAATGTTTTAAAACACAGAGGCGTGATGCGAGGCGTGAGGCGTAGTTCAGAATGTAAGAGGCATAAGCCTCCCGAACACAAGGAGGTGTAAGCCTCCTTAAGAGGAGGGGGATGAGGAGGAAGAAAGAGGAGGAAGGGGAAGATGAAGAAGAGGAAGGAGGATCTCATTTTTCCTTATTTTTAATAAAAGTCTTTTATATTAAAAAGAACGAAGATGAATAACACTAGTTGAAAGGGTCTCATTTCTTCCCCCTTATCTATTCTTTCCTTCCCTTTTTGAGGGAATGCAAGTCCCGTAAGGGCTTGTAAGGATATTTCAGGCGTGCCATTGGATTGTATTTCCCACCCTGGGTTGGATTCTCCGCAACCGGTGATGTCGTTTTCCTCTTCGGCATCTGTTTGGAGGAGAAACGCTTGTTGTTTCTTGCAGCGATGGCCCGACCCAAATTTCTCTTCGCAGTTGTAACAGAGACTTTTGTCTCTACGGGCTTGCATCTTTGCCCAGGTCAGCCGTTTGAAAGGAACCAGTGGGCCTGGGCCCAATACTCCTTCCTCCTTGTCTGGTGCTGTCGTCATTTCTTGCTCCCTTCTTGCTCCGGGACCCCATGGTCGCTGCACCTTTCTTGCTCGACTGAACTTGTCCTCATACAATCTGGCTAGTGCTACCGCATTGATGACCGAAGTGGGCTGCATTGCTTTCACTTCCAGTCGCAGTTCTTCTTTTAGGCCGCCGACGAAGCTTCCCACAAAGGCCTTCTCCGTCCACCCTTGGACTCTCACGGCCAGCCTTTCGAACTCCATCTGGTATACTTTTACTGATCCCACCTGCCGCAGCTTTGCCAAGTTTTCATCAAGATCTTCGAACCCAGATGATCCAAAACGGACAGTCATGGCGTCCGTGAAGTCTGCCCAGGTTTGACGAGGGTGCCCCCTTCGGTAACATTGAAACCAGAGGATAGCTTCCCCTTCAAGATGTGTAGAAGCCAGAGCTACCCTATCTTGCCCCGGTGTTTCATGGTAATTGAAATACCTTTCGGCTCTGAGAATCCAGGGAGTTGGGTCGCCGCCTGAGAAGATGGGGAAGTCGATTTTGGCTATTCTTGTTGCCACCCCTGTTCTGCGGCTGTTTTCATTGCTGCGCTCTTCTTGGCTTCCTCTGTCAATGTTCGTTGCTCCCTGCTCCAGTCGAAGGAGGAGAGCAGTGAAGCCTTCCTTCATTTCTTTGAGATCTGAAGACATTCGATGGATCTCTACCTCCATCTGATCCACTCGGGTGTCTACTGACGTGTTTCTTGTGTTGGTCATGCTGGCTCTGATACCAAATTGTTAGGAACCTGCCTAACTCAGGGCTCTTCGAGGGGCCAACCTCCTGAATTCTTGGAAGAAGAGAGAGAAAGAGAGAGAGTTTAATGCTGAAAGAATCAATGTCCTATTCCCTTTTCTGCTCTACTACTTATAGTTTTACAATCTTGATTGTTATAGTTGTTACAAGGCAGTTGTTACAAGTGGGTGGTTAGTTGTGCTGACGTGGCCTTTTCTTGTAAAACTGATTAACTGCCTTCTGTTTGTCTGTTCCAGCAGTCTTGACACTTCCCCTTCCCTTTCTTTTTCTTTACTTTCATTCTCTCTCTCTCTCTCTCTCTCCTCTCCTTTCTCTATTTTTCTGTTCTTTCATTTTCTTTCCCTTCCCTTTCCTTTTTTCTTTTTTTTGGTCTTTTTTACATGATGTATGCATGAGGCATACACCTCAAGCATGCCTCATGAAAAAAGCGTATGGGGCGTATGCCTCTTGCACCTAAGGCGTACGCCTCAGAGGCTTAGCGCCTTTGGGCGTTTTGGTGGTGCCTCGCCTGGAGGCACGTCTCCAGGCATACGCCTCCCATGCCTTTTAAAACATTGCTTCCATCAACCTAATGGAAACCTAGTAGTCACTGTAAACTTCACCTACCTATTATCCAAAGAGTGAATCAGCCCAGGACCCTAAAGCCCAGACAGAATCTTAGCTTGACTGTAAAAGAATCCTGAAGGCCAATAAGTCCATGATAGATCAATATAGCTTCACTTTCACCTTTATGATGCCTATGCACCTAAAAATGGTAAATGGCCGAGGGTTATCAAGGAAGCACCTATCAAAATTCAGCTTCATGACCATGATTCCTTGAGTTGTTAGACACCTAGGTGGGAATTAATGCCATCAGGCCTGGTCATAGACCTAGGGAGAATAAAATCATGTTTAATAATCTAAATATCAAAATACAACCTTTTTCTCTGGTACTACCAGCATTTGTAGAACTGGACTGAATCGGGAGAAACAAAATACAAGCTTTGGTTTTCTTATCTACTCTGGAGTGAAGACTGAAGATGCTGCCACCCCTCAAAAGAGGGCAGGACCTTAATGATCAAAAAAATAAAAAAGACATCAGGACCCCCACTTGGCATTTATTCATATATCGCATGGCTATGTTTTAATCTCTTCTGCTGTATTTAATATGGGTTTTATTATTAGAAAACAAGTTGACCTTAATAATCATAACACAGTCTCTTACTGTAGTAGGTTTTCTTACCAAGCTGTCCACAAGAGTCCAGATCATGTTGACATACTGTCAGATAAATCTCCAAAGGATCGCATGCGGATAGTGCTTCAAGATCCAAATAATGTTGATAAGGTTCGAGACAACCACATATTCAATTTTCCTACTAAGAGTGCTCCAACCAGTGGGTTCTCAAGTCCTGCACTTAGCCCTCGAAGATTGAGTAATTGTGATCTCTTTCCTCCTTACATACATTCTCAAGTTCAACAGACTTGGTCTGCCCCAGAGCTCCCACCCTTAGACCTGCTTGTAGGATTCTCTTCACAAACATCACCAGAGAAAACTCTATCTGGTTTTGACCATTATTCACTTCATAGTCCCAAAGTAAGCAGTTCTGGCCTAAACATCAAAAGTCGAAGTGGAGCTGCACCCCCATCACATCCCACATTATCTCCAGAGCTTTTGTCAGCATGTATTGAAAATGGTAGTCCCAGGATCAACAGTTATAGCCAAAACGTCAAAAGTCCAAATGGACCTGCATCTCCATTACATCCAAAACTTTCTCCAGAGTGTTTAGCTGTGTGGCATGAAAGTAATGGTCATGTCAATGTCCATCCATTACCCCTTCCTCCTCCGCCATCATATTTTCTTCATCAGACTGCAGCTAAAGTGGAGGTATCATCACTTGCTGGGCAATGGCAGAAAGGAAAGCTCATTGGAAGTGGTACATTTGGAAGTGTTTATGTTGCCACAAACCGGTATGTAACTACTAATGGTTCGTATTTTAGTTTTTTCTTTTGCAGTTAAAGCTAGCACTAACTTTACTCAAATAGGGAAACTGGAGCTTTATGTGCAATGAAAGAAGTTAATCTGATCCCTGATGACCCCAAATCTGCAGAATGTATAAAGCAACTGGAGCAGGTTATTTCTCTGGAACCTTGCATAATCCCCTAGTTATTTGTATATCAGTATTGTGTTCAAGCATATTTTGGTCATTTATCTGGATAAAAAGAAGGTTTATTTTAATATAGGATATAATAGAAGTACTGCCAACCATCATAATGTGAACAAGTAGGAAAAACAGCACTACTGTCAAGCTGAAGTTCAAACATGTGAAATAATTCACTAATTGGAGCTTGGTTGATTTGAGAAGACTGAATGCCAGATTATTTTGTCACTATATGTGAATTTCAGTACTTTCTTCTTTTTGTAGGAATAACAATTTCTTGTATATACATGATTAGCAAGAGTAAATTAATTTTTTATATATTCATAAAGATAGATGGAGTCTTGATTATAGTCCTTGAATTATTGTTACTTTGTTAGAATCTAAAAGAAGAGAATTTCTGTTTCAAGTTATACTGCCTATCATTCAATTGCTTCTCCAAACCGGTGTTGCATGGACACCCCACCTTTGGAGGGGATTGGTGAGTCAATGCACATCTATGAGTTGACTTGTGTCTAACTCTTCAAAATATGTGTTAGACTCAGCCATGATTGCAAATAAGGTGGATTTGCCAAGACATCCACTGCATCAATTCTCTAGAATTACAAATCTTCACTTTAAATGCCTCTATGTAACAATGGTTCAACCATTTTGTTCAATAGAGGTCTGGTATTTGTATCTTCCTAGTAACCCTATTTCCTCCAACAAATCAAGACATACTTTCGCTGTAGAAGGGAGTTTCCCCACTTAGACCTTTCCACCTCAATCCTTGGAAAATATTTTAACTACCCTAAGTCCTTGGTATAGAATATCTGCTGCAGAAACTGTTTCAACTAATCAATCCCTCATGTATCACTCACTATAATAATGATATCATCAACATATACTATAAGGATAATCTTTCCAAATGAAGTATCTTTGCTAAAGGTTGAATGATCAACATTGCATTGATATAATCCAAACTCTGGTACCACACTACTAAACCAACCAAACCAAGCACGTAGTGATTTCTGACCATAAATCACCTTAACCTACACACTTTTCCTATCTCCCTCTGAGCAACATACTCAGGAGGTTTAATGTCAAGCTGAAAGAAAGGCAAATTAAAGTGGGAAACCAAGGAAACAATCACCTATATAGGACCCATTTTGGCAACTGGAGAAAAAGTCTTAGTATAGTCAACCCCATATGTCTGAGTGTACCCCTTTGCTACTATTTGTGCTTCATACCAATCAACACTACTATCAGGATGATGTTTAATAGTGTAAACCCATATGCACCCTACTGCTTGTTTGCCAGGAGGCAAGGCAAGCTTGCAGGTGTGGTTGGGTTCTAGAGCATGGAATTCTTTTTCCAGTCAAGGGACACAAGAGACTTTGGGACAAAATGAGGAACAATCACAGAGGAAAAAAGAGACAAATTTATGATGGGAAGGAGACAAATGAGCAAAAGATACATAACAGGAAACAAGGTGGTTGGTAAAAGACATTTACTTTTTCAAAGGGAAATGAGCAGTCTGGATCAGGTAGATTGGTTGATAGTGAAACTGATGATGGCTTGGAAGAATCTAGAGTTGGAATAAAGATGCCCTGTGGCCCCTTATAGTACACTCCGTGAACACTTGTTCACATAGTTGCCTCAATAGTGGGAGCTTGTAAGGTATTCTCTACAATAGGAAGAGGTAGAGGAAGTGGAGGAGATGAAGGGGACTTTTCTGTAGAGAAAAGGGTACATTCTCAAAGAAGGAAACATTGGGGAGAACAAATGATTGATGAATAGTAGAGTCAAATCAGAACTAAGTGTTACATTACTAGTACGTAAAATGGAGGAGGTAGTACCATCGGCTAGGGTAACAGATTGGGAAGTGGAGAGAGGGGATAAGAAGACAAGTCATGCTATACCTGAATTAGCAAGAGTGGCAGTGTTGCCAGAAGAAGATAGGTCAAGTTTCTCATACACATCATGTGTAATGGATATCATCTCCTTCTCCTTCCCGACACTTGAAGTAGAAGGGTCATCACTAGTAGTACCATGATCCTCTCCAATTAAAGTATGATTTTCCCATGTAGATAGATGGTGGACCATGTAGGTCATAGCAACATTTCACAGTATGCTCTTCCCACAATGGTTGCACTCATGCACTGTACCAAGGTTTTAAAGGGCTAAAGACGTAATAGTCCAAAAAGGCAAAGCATAAGCCTAAAAATGAAGTAAAAAATTAATTGAAGTTTATAAATGATAAAAATAACATGTAGATGTAGTATACCAAGCTAGAATGATGGAAGGTACTGATATCCATAAAATAGAAGTTTATAAGCAATAAGTTTTAACTTTTAAGTATCAAAGAGAATAATAATGAATCATCTAACAATTATAAGAATTTTACTTTTTATGTTTCAAAATGCAATCTTATGAAATTATTCATATGAAGAATCATAAATATAACAATTACTGATAAAAAAATCATAAATTTAACAATTAGATTTATGGTCATCCAACAATTGGGAAGAAAAGAAACAATGTAGTTGATTTGACCCATGCAAAAAAAAAAAAACAAATACAAGAAAAATAAATTTATTAGGAAAAGAAATGAGAAAAACAACAAACTTGGGATGCTAAATTAGAATATTAAGAAAAATATTTCCACTTGATTTATCCAAGAGAAACTAATAACTTGATTGGCCTTTTTTTGCATTGAACACTCTTGGGCTAAAATACTAAGAGAAACTAATAGAGCTTGATTGTCCCCATTGGTTTTTCTGCGGACCTTGCCTCAAGGTGTAAGCCTTTTAAAACAATGCACTGTACCACATCCACCAATACCTCTACCCCTAGCAATTACCTCCACTCTACCACCTCCATGTTCACCTTTGACTCCACAACCACCACCTCTAACACCAGTACCCCTACCACGTACTCCTCTATCACTTCTAGTTGTAGCCAAAGCAGACTTCTCAGACATTGAAGTACTATCAACTTGTGGGTTTGAAACTCTTCTAACTCTGGAAAATACTTCTATAGGGTCGAAATGTCACTACTACCCTTAATTTGTGCATGGATTGGTTCATACTCAGATCTACCCTGAAAGGGAATGTGCAACACCCAAGTATTTTCATTGTTGTTGTTGTTGGATCTTCAAATCAATAGACAAAGGCTGATATTGTCCTACCCTGAACAGAGTTGTTTCACATGATCCTAGATTTCCTTGGTAGTGTCCAGAAACATAAGGTTAACACTAACATGAGTTCCCATGCTATTCCATAGCCAAGTCATAATCTGAGCGGTTTCTTTCACCCACTCATCTTACCCAGTAGACCCACTATATGACTTTAGGCCATTAATATATTTCAACTTTGCTTTTTCCAATAAGAAATACCTCCACAGATTTGGCCCATGGGACATAGTTTGCACCATTTAACTTGACTGAAGTCATTTGGGCAACAATAAATTCTGGGTTCATAACTCATAACTACCCCCTGATATATTTCTCCACTAGACTGAGCCATAGAATAAAACTAGATGCGAAATAACAAAACTATACCACCACACACTTATGCTACTCTCCAGTTGCCAGTTACCTCCACACAATCTCTCACACTAACAGCCACCATAATTCAATATTCAACCATTAACAGCACCATAAGTCAACAAATATCAGATTTGAAAGCTACTTTGATACTAGCCTACCACACAAAATCCATAAAACCAATGTCTAGCAACTGTAAATATTCCACCCAAAAACACAACCTGAAAATATGGGGTTCAGTCCCCATATTTTTTGAATTTTCTTTTCTTTCTTCTTTTTCTTCTCATAAATATGTTGATTTTCTAGACATAAACATGAAGTTTATAATTTTCTTATGAAAATTATGGATAGTTATTAAGGAAAGATGGTTATGGAACCTAGGGAACTACCTAGGATATGTATTTTTCATTTAAAAATCCATCGCCTAGGCGACTAGGCGACAAGGCGCCCCCTTGTTGCTTACCCTCGCCTTGGTGCCTTGAAAACTATGTCAACAGGTTCATGTCAAAGTCCGTGGACCGGTGCTTGCCCTTCTTCAAAGCAATAAAAAGATAAAGGACTTCCAATGGATTGAGGAGTGTGAACTGTCCTTCTAGGAGCTAAAAAGATACCTGAGTTTGCCACCTTTGCTCACAAAGCCGAGCTCAGGAGATTTACTCCTACTCTACCTGTCTGTTGGAGATGAAGTGGTCAGCTCGGTCTTGGTAAAGGAGGAAGGTTAGACGCAGAGGCCGATCTACTACACCAGCAAGGTCCTCGCAGGTGTAGAGACTCGGTACTCAAACCTGGAGAAGGTTGCCCTGGCCCTAGTCACCTCGGAAAGAAAGCTCAAACCATACTTCCAAGCCCATAGCGTCCGGGTGCTCACCGACCAGCCTCTCAAGCAAGTCCTACAGAGGCCGAAGGCATCTGGATGCCTAGTCAAATGGAGTGTGAAGCTGAGTGAGTTTGATATTGACTACGCGCCTCGGCCTGCCATCAAAGCCCAGGCCTTGGCTGACATCTTGGCCGAGTTTACCTTCTCAACACAGGAACTAGCCGAGGTCCCACTAGCCTGGACTCTTCATGTGGACGGCTTGTCCAACCAACAAGGCAGTGGGGCTGGATTCGTTCTTCTTGGACTGGACAACACCGTCCTAGATCATGTACTCAAGTTCGAGTTCAAAGCGTCCAATAATGAGGCCGAGTACAAAGCTCCAATAGCCAGACTTCGGCTCGCCCTGGACCTCGAAGCTAGGCGAGTTGAAGCCTTCAGCAACTCCCAGCTTGTGGTCAACTAGGTCCTCGGTCAGTTCAAAGCAAGGGTGCCAACTATGGCGAGCTACCTACAAAAAGTGCAAGGACTCATTCAACAACTCGAACACTTCACCATACAACAAATCCCCCAAGCCGAGAACATACGAGCCGATGCATTCTCAAAGCTCGCCAGTTCACCCCACACAGACAAAACATATTGAAGTTGATTGGCATTTTATAAGAGAAAGGGTAGCTTCTGGAGAAGTTTGCCTTCCTTTTATTGCCTCAAAGCAACAATTAGCAGATGTTTTGACCAAGGGTGTCCCCAAGGCAAAGTTACAACATTGTGTAAGTAAGTTGGGCATAATTGATATCTATGCTCAGCTTGGTGGGGAGTGTAGAGATAATGGGCTGAATGGGCCTTAGTTTCTTTGTTTTTCTTTAAGTTATGTTTATGACTTGTGTCAGTAGGTAGTGGGCCTTAGTTATGGGCCTGTTTCTCTTTTTTTTGTTGTTTTTTGTTGATGTCTTTAGTGATGGATGCCCGAGTAAGGGCAATCATGTAATTCTCCTTATTTTTTACAACAAAAGAATAAAAGAGATTATTGGGGGCTGAAGAGAGGCATTGAACTACTCTTTCTTTTTCCTTTTCTTCAATCTTCTTCCTCCATCACTTCTCTCTCTTCAATCTCCTTTCTCCTGTTTCTTTTCTTTTAATTTAGATTATTGCAGGTGTGATTTACAACTAAAGGGTGACAAGGATTGGGTTGTTTTTTGGTTCTCTACTGTAATAATAACGTTTGTTCTATATTTTGTTAAGGAAGCCCATTCATGTCCTTGGCATGCTCTTGGCTTCTTTCCCAAGGGCTTGTACTTTCACTTTATTCTCTTCAATAAAGTTTATTCTTGCTGCTGACAAGGATTGGGTTGTTTTTGGGTTCTCTGTTGTAATAATAACATTTGTTTTATATTTTGTTAAGGAAGCCTATTCATGTCCTTGGCATGCTCTTGACTTCTTTCCCAAGGGCTTGTACTTTCACTTTATTCTCTTCAATAAAGTTTCTTTTTGCTGCTGAACAACAAGAACATGATGATGGCATGCCTCATTTTGATTGAGAATACACATACAACATGTTCTTTTGAGCTTCCGGCATGTTTTTTTAACCAAACAATTTTGATTTCATCTAAAATTGCTTTTGGCAGTTACTTATACTATTTTTTTCATTGCAGGAAATTAAAGTTCTTAGCCAATTAAAGCACCCAAATATAGTGCAGTATTATGGTAGTGAAATAGTAAGCCATTCTCTAGTTTGGTGTTATTTCTATGTTTCTTCAATCTTCTACATCCATTATATTCTTTGAAATATTAACCAATTTGGAGGCAATTGTTCATTAATTCAGATTGAGGAACGGTTCTACATATATTTGGAGTATGTTTATCCCGGTTCAATTAATAAATATGTCCGTGACCATTGTGGGGCAATTACAGAATCAGTTGTTCGTAATTTCACCCGCCATATCCTCTCTGGGTTGGCTTACTTGCATAGCACCAAGACAATCCACCGGTAAATGATCTTATGTTTGATTTTAATTCATTAAAATTTCATGGCATAAGTGCATCATGGCTTGTCAATAAATAGTAATATATGTGATACAAAAGCATGCTGACATATTCTTTCAAACAGAAATGAAGAGATTGGTTATGTGTTTGTGTGTATAAGGCCCATTCAGGTGATTGAGTTTTTATTATTTTGGGTAAGGCCCATTCAGGGAATCATACGGATTGTTCCCCTTAATTAAATTTCCACAAGAAAGTAGAGAACACCTTTTGATTCTGACTTGGAGAAATGAATGCACATAACATAAGAGAAGAACGATAGAGTACTTTAAAAGAACTTCTCACTTACATTTCTTTTACATCAAGTGTACAAGAATGAGAAGAAAACAAAACTACAACAATAAATTTCTCTCTTTTCTTTTTGATACAAAGAAGATTTCCTTCTCACTCCTTTCTTCACAATAAGCTGTAGTTAATCAAATTAAATTATGATTGTAGACAGCCTTAATCCTTTGGATTTTTGCAGACAAGAAGGGAACCATAGTCAATCAAATTGCATATTTGATTGTAGATGATTTTATTTCCCTATTCTTCATTTTCATTTGAAGGGAACCATAATCAACCTTTGAGAATTAGATTGTAGATGGTTTAATCCCAAGCTTTTCTTGGAAGAGGGACCATAGTCAACCAAGTAGAGGCACCTGGTTGTAGATGGTTTATTTCCCTCTATTTCCTTTCTCAAAACTGAAAATAAAAGAGAGAGAAAGAAGGATACATAGCAGAAGACATATATAGGAAGTATTCATGGAAAGGACTTTCCTTTTCCTACTTGTATTAATGAGACTTCTTTTCCTTCCCTGCCTTCCCTTGAGCACCTCTCTTTTCTTCTCTCCTTATCATTGCTTTTCTTAAGAATCTCTTGTGACAATTTTCTCCAAAGAGTCCCCCCTAGCTTCCCCTTAAGGAGCTTAAATAGGGAGTGCGGTAGTTATGTAACTACCTCCTCCTCCTAGATGAGAGGCACCTGTTCCTCCCACTTAAAGAGAGGAGACTCTCATACGGGATACTTTTTTATAGTTTTGATAGTTTGGCTAACAGACTAGCTAACTCACTTATTTGGGTTATTAAATTATTCAATATTATTTGGATTAAAAAATGCCTTCAACACATTGCACTAAAAAGGCGTCAAAAAAGATATACAATTCTCACTATATGTGTTTGTGTAGTAAGTCTATGTATTCTTGTATGTACAAAGGAGTCACAAGGATACGCAAAATCAATGTCTCATTATGTCATCCCACTGTATTGTAATGTTTCTGTGAAACAGCAGCTGATGAGGGTGTATTATGTTCCATATTAGTGTATGGAAGATATACTGTATCATTTTATCTTAACCTTATTTGGGGCCCTGAATGGCATATTTGCACTTGTATTTTACATATAGATTCTCTGGAGTGGGGGTCAATTCACTTAAGGAAAAATCTATTCTTTCAAACCCACCTGATTGGTTACCTCTTTTATGTTGCTGGTTAGTTGGTTATAGGTTTTTCCAGTATCATGTCTTTCTGGCGTCATAGTCGAACACTTCACTTAGATACCCTATTACTCAGTGATCTATTCCATGTTTCTATTTTGCTGGATAACCTTAGAGGTGCTAATTGCTTAGGTTTTTAATATGCTTTTCTCATATCCTTCAATTCTTTTAAAATCAAAGGCCAATCCATGATGTAAGGAACAAAGGCAAATCCAGTTTTGTTCTTTACATGTCTCCTAGAAAATTGCAGATTGTGTGATGTCTGTGGAAGATGATCACTCTTCAATCATAAGCAGAGGTGATACTGACAATCTCCAATCCAATTCAGCCTACAGATAAGGAGAAAAAAATAATTCCGTTGTTTCATTTTTCCTTTCTTTCAGTTTCTTTTGATTTGTTTCTGTTAGTGGTGTTAGTGAAGGGGTATTTCAGTCTTTGTACTTGTTGAGAATGCTGATGTGTACTGTTATATTAGTTCGAGTGCCCCTTACTTAAAGAAGGGCACTCAAGTCTTTTCCAATAAGTTAATAATATAATAACAGGTCTGGCCGAATCAAGGGATTAACTTTTTTCCCTAATTCGAACCAGCCTTTCTCTCTTCTCTCTT